GGTTGGGACCAAGACATAGCGTGCATTTATGGAGGGTGTGCATTTATGGAGGGTGCATTTATGGAGGTCTGACTGTATATATTATGATAATCTCACATCCAAATACAGCAATTTGAAATAAATCGATTTTCTATAGTATGAAAAGGGGAACTACAACAAATCCAAGCCTTTAAGATAACCTGATCCAGCGATTGAGCTTTTTTAGGAGTAATACGTTGAAAAAGATTGGTAATGGTTGGCTGTTTTATGTTTAATTGTTTTCTTTTAGGTAGAGAAGCATTTCTAACTCAAATTCTTGATAAGTGTATTTTTAAATCATGTGGTCTTCAAGAGGCTTTATAATGATCATTTCCCAATAGTGCTTTCTTATTTACATATTCCCAGGTTCTTTCTGCTACCTGAATGTTTACATTTTTTATTGGAAAATTAGTTTCAATACTATTTGATGATAAATCATCAGAAGTAAAGAGAATTATTTTCAGCATCAGATGTATCAAATACATAATTATAAGATGGTTCGAGAATATTATCTTGTATTTCTTTTTAAAATAAAACTTTTAAAAAATTTAATTTGATCCATCAAAATTCCACCAGTTTCACCAAAGAATGATGAAACAGTTGAATCCGGTTATAAATGAGCAACCTTAGCTTATGAAAAATCGAAATGTAATGTTAATATTAATATTAATACAAAAAAGTTAATTTTTAATTCTATACAAAAGTTGGTGCATGTGAAGACGCCATATATTATTAATTATTAATGTATACATAGTAAAATTTTTAATTATATCAAAGAAAATTTCTCATGAACCAAACCATCCACTGACTAAATTTTTTATTCGATCTCCCTGTAATAATGGTGCAATCAATACCGATTCAACTGCCTCAGCTGCTACAACTGCTGGTTTGATTTTTCCTGTTAATTTGATCTTTTCCATTTTATAATTCTGATATTCAGAATCAATCTTTCTCCATAAATTAAGAATATCTGCTATTTGCTCTTTAGGGCACATGGTCAATGCATATCCCATTAATGACATTTGTTTTTCCAGATCTGCAAAGTTATCTTGTTTAGCTACCTCATAACAAATCCTCCATGAAACATCTTTAACTGACCTGATAACTTCATTATCATTATCGTATTTTTTATTGATAATCCCTTTAGCAATATCAATCAATTCAATGCACATTTGATATGCTACACTAAAGTTAACATCTCTTAGTGCAGAGTCTGCTATCATTGCCATCACTTTAACTTCTGCTATTTTGTCATTCTTATATCCTAATTTACTTGCTAATTCCATAATTGTCTCTATCTCTAAATATGCTTTTTCATTTACACTTAATAACCTTGAGATCAATTCTAATCGATTTGTCGACAGTCGGATTTGCATTGGTAAAAGCGGTATTCCTGCTTGATGTTGAACTTTATTTTCTGTTAATATATGCGTTGCCTCTATAAATTCCATTTCTAAACTTATGGCTTTGGTTTTTGGTAAAATTTGTAAACTAAAATATAAATAAAATAATGATATCTGAATAAAATTTAATCATTGCAATAATAATAATTTATAAGATGGTAAAAAAGCTTACCATTCATATGCCATTTTCATGTATCCTTGATTTTTGTTTCCTGTAGTCGCATTATCAAAAAATTCTCTTGATGCATCAACAACAAGTTTCTCGGCCACATCCACTTCTAAAGGTGGTGTTTTATCGCTTGGCAATAATATTTCTTGTGCAAATCGAAACCTGCCACTACTTAATAGTCCTGAAGCAAATTCTTTATAAATTTCTTCGATACTTATTTTTTCTAAAACTCCTCCTTTATCTTGTAACTTTATCATTTCTTCTAACAATAATTTCCACTTATCTCCATCACTATTATTTGTATCATTACCAACTTTAATCTCCTCCCCTGTTTTACGTGCTAATCTTACACACAATTGTTTTTGCATTTTGTAGTCATCTTTACTTTGCAAAAACCATTTCATATCTATTGAATTATTATAGCGTGAAAATATTTCTGCTGCATTCAAATGACTTTCTAAATAATTGATCATTAGCTGCAAATTTTTTTCATCTAGTTTTTTAAAAATAGTAAATAACTCTTTCGGTACAAAATTCTTTATATTTTTAATATCATCAACACAATCTGAATCACAAACATCCACTTCAAAATATTCAAAATATGGAAGATATCCATGAATATTTTTCATTACTTCCCATTGATTAACATTTGGATTGCCGTATATAACTGATAATGCAACACTAGCTAAATCAATATCTGATTTAATAATCCTATCATCCTCATCTAATACTGGCATCGAGGCTTCAAAAATAAGTTGAACCAAATCTAGACGTGTTGATGACAATTCCAATATATAATCATATAATAATTCAATTGGCTTTTCAAATCCACCAATATGTTTATTATTATCATCACCATCAATCAAATGAATCTTTTGACGTGATTGACGTTTAGGCAACAAATTTAAAAAAGGTATAACAAAATTTTTAACATCATCTATGATTCGAAGTTCATTTGTATGCTTGAGAAATGCTTGGATAATATCATATTCAGATAATGCTTCAAATTCTTCTAATGTCATAATATTCCCAATAGATTCTAATTCTGGATAACATTCATAAACAAGACTGGATAACATTCCAAGATTTTCTTCTATTGTTTCTAATCCTTTGACACCTTTACTAATCCCATGATGAATAAATGTCAAGGCTTTGTCAACTTGACCAGAAATTTTATCGATTTTGTGTGCTCTGTCAATATACCATTGAGTTATTATTGAAGATGGTGCTGGATATGTGATCGGTTTTAATAAAGCCCCTCCCAAGTCATCTTCAACTTGTTCTTCAAAAAAAATTTTTTTTTTTATTATAGGATTTTCAACCCAATCTGCTTCTCTCCATGGTTTTTCATCCCATAACTTTTCAATAGGTTCTTTATTATCAATGGTCACCATACTTGGCAAAAAACTTTCATAATCATCAGGATCTGCTGTCTCAGGAATATTTTCAAGAACATTGAAACGATATGGTAAAATTTCAGAACCATGCCGAGTAAACAAAATATGTAATCCTTTAAAAAATTCATCTTGTGCAAACAAAATTGCTTTTATATTAATATCTCCTTCTC